AGTTCTGACCTAGCAGGGCTATGTAATAAGATTCTGCCCTTAAACACAATAAAAGAAAGAAAACATTTGTTTTTACCCATGACTTCAGAGGTATCAGTCCAGGTTGTTGGACCCTATGGCTTTGTGCCTGTGATGGCAGAGCGCATCATAGTGGGAGTGGGTGATGGAGAGGCCTGTTCACTGATGAGAGTCGGGAAGCAGAGAGACAAGAGGGACAAAGAGACTGCTATTGAGTATCCTTTTCAAGAACCATCCATGCGAATATCTACAGACATTTAAGGCACCCTCTCTTAAAGGTTGTATTACCTCCAGACCTCCAGTAGCGACACACAGTGGCAACAAAGCTTTCAACTCATGGTCCATTGGGGGACATTCGAGATTCAAGCTATTGCAAGACTCATGGGGAAGACTTTGCTGTCTCATCTTTGTGTTTCAGTTCCAGTTGTCACTGACAGGAAGTACAGCCCCCACTTACACTTTATCTTGTCTCAAGATGAGCGCAGGAAAAAGGTTAGGTGAGCGTGGTGGCTCATGCTTACAATCCAAGTGCAGGGTGATCAAGAGTTTGAAGCCAGTGTTCGGTGCATAATAAGTTGGAGGTCAGCCTGAGAAACAGAGAGATCATGTCTAAAAAATAGCAAGAACTAGAGGTTTAGCGAAGTGACAGGACATTTGCCTCACATGTTCAAAGTCCTAGGTTCCATCTCTAACACCAATGCGGAAGGCTAAGGTAAATCATCAGAAAATGGACACCATCAGCCATCCTGCCACAGTCTCTGCTCCTGCAGCCAAGTCTTGACCAGCAGTGGCACGGTTGTAGTTTGGCTAACTATGTTCTTAGTGATCTGTTGCCAAGCCAATGGGAGATTTGCTGTGACCTGTTCTTGCTTGTATGTGTGTGGTTTTGTTGTGTTTTAACTGATTTTGGAGGGAAACCCAAATATGGTGCTTTATTCTCCTCCAGGGCCCCAGAACAGAGGGAGGAAGAGCTGTATGGGAGAATCCAACCAAGACATTGTGTGTGTAATGCTGAAGCGTGATCGACATCGTGGCTTTGGTAAGAGGGCTTCCTGAAGGCGAGGTTCAGGCTCTGCTCATCGAGCGGGGACAAGCACCATTCATTGCTCCAATCTGGCCTCTTCTCTCCTACCTTGCATTTCTCAACAATCCCTTCCACTGTTTCCTTCCTTTCAGTGCCTGCAAAGAACACAAACACTTTTGGTACAAAAGATTCCTTGCAAGTGCTGATATATTTTCTGGATGCATCTAAGCACAAGATAAAAATAAAATCCACCTTCCCCACACACCTTGCACCAGGCTTTCTCCAGTATAAACAGGTTGGAGAGGAGTAGTCAATCTTTTGTATCTTCAATTATTCGCCCCATTTAAAAATCCTTAAAAACATTTAAGAAAAAAGACACCAAGACACGGGGTATTTGGTTAGAGATCATCTTTCCTGGGACTGGGGAGATGGTGCCGCTGATGAAACGCTTGTCGTGTAAGTGTGAAACCAGAGTTTAGATTCCCCAGCACCCACATAAAAAGGTTGGGTGTGTGTCATATTATGCCTGCAATCCTGGCACTCAGGAGGCTGAGCCAGGGATTCCTCCAGCAAGCTGGCTAATTTGGCTAGCTGAAATCAGTGAGCGTTGGATTCAGTGACAGACAGCTTCAATAAACAAAGTGAAGGGACAAAAGCTCACATTATGGCTCACAAGCATAACTTCAATCTCAGGAGATCTGACACCTCATTCTGACCTCCACAGGCATTGCACACATGCGGTACAGAGACATACATGTAAGTCAAACACCCATAAACAGAAAAAAAGTAGAGAGCAATCCAGGAAGACTTCAAATATCAAACTCTGGGGCTCCACATGCATGAACACATATGCATGAGAATTTCCACACATGTAAAATACACACACACACACACACAGAGAGAGAGAGAGAGAGAGAGAGAGAGAGAGAGAGAGAGAGAGAGATTGATGATGGATGCAAGCAACCCCAAGTCCTGTCTCATCCAGCTGTGTTGGAGGGTTGCGTTTCTATCATTAGCTATGGTTGGTAAAGAGGGTGTCTCGTTCAGATGCAGTTATCAGTCATGCCACTTGGTAGCTATTGAGCGACAAAGTCATTAGGCATCATCTTATTATTACATGCCATTTTGGATTACAGGTTTTGTCATTTACGAGGGAGAAGATACAGACCAAGCAAAGCCTGGCATTTTCATATCTTCCCTTATTCCTGGGGGACCAGCAGAAAAGGCTAAAGTGATCAAACCAGGTACACCTTAAGTTAAGTCACCAGAGATGTCTTAAGTAACCTTTCTTATTTTCTTGCTGGAGTTATTGAGTCTTTTTTTTTTCTCCAGGAGGGAAGATATTAGCCTTGAATCACATCAGTCTTGAGGGCTTCACGTTCAACATGGCTGTTAGAATGATCCAGAATTCCCCTGACAACATAGAATTAATCATCTCACAGTCAAAAGGTACGTTTCATCTTACTTTCAGCAATGGAACAGCCTCCTCTGTTATCACCATGGGCACAAAACACAGAGCTCCATGTAGGTCTTTTGTGTAACTCCCTGCAAATATGGTCCTGTCTCGCAAGGAGGCAACCCAGCGGCACAAATCAGTATGCTGTGTAATCTCAGAGCCAGAGCGGGGTCCCAGGATTGAATGTCTTTCTGAAAGGCAGCAGCCTCCTCATTATGTATGGTGGATACACCCAGTGTATATGCGTTCCCACCCGCTCTCCTTGCATGATAGGGAGGGAGTTCTTATTGACGCTCAAGTCTAAGATGTCTACAGCTGGGCTCAGGTGGAGCAGTCACCTGTGCCTCTGGGAAGGAGGGTGAGGTTGTCTTTAGTTTACATCTGCACTGCAAGCACCGTATTTTTGCTGTGCAGCTCCAGATCAACCCGTGAAGTCCTTGTTGTCTAAGCCTTCTTTACTTAATCTCTTGATTTAAGAACAATAGCCAAGCAACAGATGTTTAGGCCAAAGAATAATGTTATGTTTGTTTGGGGGCATTTTGGTGGGGTTCTTGATAGAGGGAAGGGCAAGGGGCTGACACCTCTCATCCTGGCTACTAAGGACCACTGATGCTTTTTAGCCTGGGCGAGTTTGTAAATTGCAGGAGGTGGCCTACACACTCAGGCTCGTCTCTGAATGCAGACGCTCCACTTGCTGTGCCCTTGGAGAAGCAGTCTCACGTGCGTGCCTGCACACACTGTCCCCTGGTGGCTTCCTCTCACCCTCCCTGCAGGTAGCTGCACTAGGGTCTTTCCCCATTCCTCAGGGTCCAGCCCCAGCACTTCCATCATGCCAGCCTCAAGATCACTGTCTCTGTTAGATGTCACAATGCTGACACCTCTTAGGGAAGCAGGTCAGTAATATCGGGCTTTTCCTTCACACTTTTCACATTGAGGGCATTCAGTTCTCCTCTTGTGTTGTCGGGCAATAATTCCAGACAATCAAATCACAACTCAGTGTAGCCTAAGGACAGCCTATCATGGTGGTCAAGATGATAAAAATTGGGATCCAAAATCTAAGTGCTCGGACCACAATCTTGTATTAGAATTCCAGACAACAGGTGTGTCCACTGCCTGGCAGTTACGTGGCATCTCCCTGGGGTGGCCCATTTACATGTCAGATGCGTGACTTTCCACAGTTGGGATTTCTACTGAGCTGGTCTATTGCTGGGGAAAGAGGTCTAGCGATGGTCTTCTGCTAAGGCAGCTGCTCTAGACTGGACCCTAGGAGCCAGCAGCTAACAGCGCATCATGAGCAGCTATGAAAATCCATTATAAACTGCTATGAAAATCCATTATAAACTGGGTCATAGTCACCCACAGAAGGTCAGGGCCCCCTAGAGCAATAGAACTGATAGAATGACTGTATATTGTAAAAGGGTTTCTTTTTTCAGACTGGCTTAAGTGATGTCGGCTGGCAGTGGTGGCTGCCTGCACGCTGGAGGGGGTGAGGACAGGGTCTGCTTACTTAGTTCATGAGGCTGGAGGCTTCCACTGTCCCATAGGCACCGAAGGCCTGGAGGACTCTTGGGAAGCCACTGTCTTCAGTTCACACTGCAAGGCTAAGGAAGGATACTCGGAAGACAGGAGAGAGGGTCCAGAAAGGGAGCAGTGCTACTTTCCCTTGGGTATCCACTTCAGGTTTTACCTATTGATTCCCATCTCATGGGTTTTTTTTTTTTTCGTTGTTCTATGCCAGTTAGAGTAAGCAGGAATCCATGAGCAGCCGTCTCTTAGAGGAGCCTAGAGCCTGGTATTACCAAGTATAGCTCATGTTGGTCTTTTTGTCACATGCTGGTAACAGCTGTGCTCCTCATGGTTTTGCTGAAGGTCAGAGCTAAGAGAAGTCCCACATGTTGAGTATGGGGTTTGGGATAAGCTAGTTCATCCTTTTGATTCTGTTTTAATTAATTCATTAAATAATTAATCTGATTCTAATTAAACTGAGATAACACCTTCCTGGTGGCCTGTTGAGAGGATGAAAAGATCTCATCCCCCTCTCCTCTCCTCTCCTCTCCTCTCCTCTCCTCTTTTCTTCTCATATCCCTTCCCATCACATGAATGACAGGAGTTTCATAAAGAGGGGCTGGCATTCTTCACTCTCCTTGCTCTCATGTTTTCATAACTGGATCACACAAATGACTTCTATTTACATTTCTGATCACTTCTAAAACCCTCTCTTTATTCTGAATGCAGCATTCTTCATGAAATGATGAATTCAGAGCATCCTCTGCAACTCTAAAAGCTCTTGTCACTCAAGGAAAAATTCGATGTCTCATAGGATGCTACCAATATGCCAGTCTTTCCAAATATTGACCTCTTGGCTTGTTTTTGTAGGTGTTTGTGGAAATATCTCCAGTGAAGAAAAGAATAGTACAGCAAGTTCTGGCACGTTCTGTACAGATATCCTGAGCAATCGGTGCCAGGGAAGAGAGTCAGCACACACACGTGACCAGGACAGAAATGCCAGAGGACCAGAAATGGCTCAGGTGCAGAGTTCATCACCCAGGCAGGGGCCTCCATCCTCCCTTCTATTGTTAAAGATGCGAATCTTCTTGGTCTACGATCTAGACTCTAGAAGAAAGAGAATATAGTCTGTGGAGTCCAGTGGTGCTCCCATATCCTATGGTGTCCTGTGCTCTTGATGTGTCCTGTCAAGCAGCTACAAGTTGCTTAACCTCTTCCCACGGTGGGAAACAGGTAGAGCTACTGACTCAGGGGAGCAGGGCTCAGTTGGAGCCTCAAGTGTTCCTACTCATTTATTAGAACCATTTCTCATAATGCCAACGTGAGGGGATTGGTCGGTGCTGGGGCAAGGCATGGACCGCTAGATGTCTTATAATCTTGACTTCTAATTGGTCCTTGAGCTAGTAGCTAAATAATTCTGTGCTTACCATTGCCCCCTGGAGCAAGAGAACAAAGTGTGGCTTTGGCTTCAGTCTCTGCTCTGCATTGCCTGCTGTCTTCTTAGTTACTGCTAGCAAGTCCCCCATGGCTTCTCAGGTCCACCCTTTTCTTTTGCTCTGGGTCCCTTGCAGCTCATGTTCATTGGCTATTTTAGTTGATTCTACCTGGAAGAAGCTTTCACACTAGCCTGAAAAATTCTACCAAAAGCAGGGATAAGTGTGCCACTGGCCATGTGCTGACCTAGGTGGGAACCTCTTCAGTGATGAACCGAGCACCTACCAGCTGATCTTTACTAGGGGATGACTTCCTGGCTTCCATCATCCTCTTGCCCCTCTCAGCTCCAGGTTCGGAGTAGCTACAGAATCTACTGCTTCTACCCCAGGCTCTGATGCTGCTCATTGCTTTCTCTAAAAACTGCCAGAACCTTTGAAACATGCTTGGCATTAACTCTCCTCCCTGGCCCAGGCTGAGTACGTAGACCTTCTCATTCTTTTGAAGCTTCAAGACAGGTTGCTCTATGTCTCCCGTGTTTCTCTCGTGGAGGAAGAAGAGTAATGTCTGTCCACAAGGACCTCAAAGATGAAGCCTGTACTCACCAGTGAGCAGCTGTTTGGGTTTGTCACTTTGGCCCAAGTATTGGGGAAAATGGTACTTGAGCTTATCACTGCTAAGCTATGACATTCAAGTGGTTTTCATTTTGTGAACCACTCCCAAGGGAGAGCTAGCCATGCATAGCTACAGGACAAGCTGGAACTCCACATACTCTTTCCAATCTAGGTGGGACTACTGCTTCCTCCGGACTCAGTGGCTTCAACCAAGCAAAGTTATCTTTCATTCCACAGATACTCATCAACCACTGCATATGTATGAGGCTCTGGTCAGCTGCTAATACAGCAAAGAACAGAACAGACAGGTCTCTCGCTCACAGTTCAGAGAAGCATGCTATGGGCATTGTGCAGAATTATTGGATAGGGCCCTTGAGACACAGGCATGTTGGCAAGAAAAGAGCATACATGTTTATTGAATATATGTTTTACAGGAGATTTTGTGCGGAAAGAAGACCCACAGATACAGTTAAACCGAGGTGTATTCTATAGGAGGTTTGGTGTAAATGGAGAACTATAACTAAGCAGAAGGCAGGAGTCCACTGAAGGACATTAAAGAGGCTGTTAGTTTGATTCTCTGGATCCTTGACCCTTAGCCTTCGCAGTTTCATCTGGGCACAAGGAAGGTACTTCTCACATGAGGACCTTATGCCTTGTTCGGGGAAAGGTTGGAAAATCCTTGGTTCCAATGACGGGCTTCAGGTTAGAAGATCCAGAGGAGGCCAGAGACTTGTCTACTCACGCTGCTTCACAGGTTCCTTAAAGTAGGAGTCATTTTACTGAGGGGCTTTGTTATGATGTCGTATGTTCTGTCCCCAAGCACTAAGGTCTGGCATGCAGTAGGGATCTTTTATTGTTAATATCTTCTTAGTTGGCCATAATGCCCATTCACACAGCACAGACATGATGAGCTGAATACAGCTGGACTCAGAGTCTCACCCCTGTAATCCCAGCATTTGGGAAGCTGAGGTCAGAGGTGGGCATAATCAAAGAGAATAATAGTGATAGCAACAGCCACCTGCTTATGTGTTCAGCAGTATCCTGGGCACTTTATATGAGAGATCTCACGAAAGCTCGGTGGCAGTTATATAAGGTAGTATGACTGTCAACTCCTCCTGGAGTGTTTTTACCCAGGGCACAAAGAGAAAAGGATTGTGCTAAAAATCCAGGGGGTTAAAAATCCAGGATCTGAGTCCGCAATCCATGGTGTTGGATTTGAGAGCAGAAACCATGTTCTCAGGCTGCTCTTTAGAAGGCTCCTTTCTTGCTGGACTCAGCAGAGGGCTCTGTAGGGTGGAAAACCTGCAAGCTGGTTTTAGGGGCAGTTGAGAGGGGACTGAACATCTATAGGACCTACATCGTCAGGTTCTTGGAACTTGTGACCAGCTTTGTGGTCAGATAACCAGTGGTGTAGTGATGTCACATGCCCACTTTGGATCTCATCCATGCAGTTGTTTCATTCCTTAAGATTGAAGGAGTGTGAAGTCCTTGAAATACCTGACGTTTCCTCTGTTCTATACCAAACTCTCCCAAAGCTCTTCTGTTGAAATAATGTTTTTTAGTTTACTTCAGCTTATTTATTTTCCAGTGAGTTAACAGTGTTTTCAACATGGACCAGGAATCTCAGAATATAGAGCATATAGAGACAGTGGAGCATGGACAGCAAGGGGAACATTTTCTTTTCTTTTTTTTCTTTTTTTTTTTTTTTTGATTTTTCGAGATAGGGTTTCTCTGTGGCTTTGGAGCCTGTCCTGGAACTAGCTCTTGTAGACCAGGCTGGTCTCGAACTCACAGAGATCCGCCTACCTCTGCCTCCCGAGTGCTGGGATTAAAGGCGTGCGCCACCATTGCCCAGCAAGGGGAGCATTTTCTGTCTAGACGCAATGGTCACTCAGCTTAGCACAACCTGTGGAAACTCCAGATGTGCCCTTGAGCTTATGTGTAGCACAAATAATAAAAATCCAGAGACAGATATTGGGGTTCAACCTGAAGATCATAAAAGCAAAGCAGCCAACCACTAGCTCTTACCTCTACCTCAGACCAAAAATGGGCAATCCTGCCTCCATGAATCCTCAGACTGAGACCCATCTCTATTTCTGGGATTAAAGGCGTGCATCATCACTATCTGGCCTCTGTGGCAAACTAGTGTGGCTGCTGGGAATAACAGTGTGTGCAACCACTGTCTAGCCTGTATGGCCGACTGGTGTGGCTGCTTTGCCCTGACCTTCAGGCAAGCTTTATTTATGAACACACAAATAATATACCACAATACTTATGTTTCAGCCAGACCTCACTTTGTGTTCCAGTTTTTCCTATACCAGCTGCATCTCTGAGGGTCCAGCTGATAACACTCCCTTTAATCATAGCTACATGAACTTATTACCACGAAAGTTATTGGTTATGTGATTGAGAATCTCCCTGCTAAGAGACTCAAGCCCCCTAGGCAGCAATTTATCATGGGCAGGTGGGTCTCATCATCATAGTTGTGCCAGATCCTTCGTACCCCCCCCCCCCACCTTTCTGTTGCCCTAATAAAATGGGTGAATTACAAACAATGGTTCATTTGGATAATGCTTTGGTGGCTGGGATGTCCCAGATGGAAAAGCCGTATCTGGTGAAGGTTACTGTGTTGTCCCATGTATGGTGGGAGGCCTGACTTGAGGGAAAGTGCACATGAGCGTGAGAGACAGAAAGAAAAAATGGAGACAAGTTCCTCCTTTTTACGCATAGCCTCTTCTCGCAGCAATGCAGTCATGAGGCTTCATGGCATAATCCCTAAGAAAGCTTCATCTCTTAATTATATCAATTGTAATTACATTTAAGGATGATTTGTGGAGGAGGTGTTCAGACCACAGCATAACCCTGGTCATAACAGGTGTTCAATAAATGTCTCGTGAATGGTTGAATGGATGAACAAATCTTATATAGTTATTGTCACAAGTACTAAGGAAATTGCCTGGTACATGGTATGATCTTTTTCATAAACCCCTTAGCTACTGAAAAATCAACCATAACATGGCCAGTCTAGATAAGAATGGTCAGAAGTCCTCCTGAGATTTGCTTTGCCTCCAGGAGTTGCTGTAGGTCTGGTAGCCAGCATGCTGTACTTGGCTGCCATCATGTGTTGAGTGATAGAGGAAGGACCTGAACAGCTTTAGTGCTGGCATGGATGTTTGCCAAGTGAGTGCAGACAGGAAGTCTCTGCATTCCTTCAGTCCCGGCCACGTACCAGGACTTTCACGGGTAGGAGGCACTCTTGGAGGCCAGTTATATGGATTAGGAAATGGGGGCGAGGGGTCCGAGAGAGTCCCATGGGTAGGAATTGATAAAGCTGGAGAAGTCTCTCTGGGCTCATGCTCTTGCTGGAGGCAGTGCTGCTGGCTCCTGGTAGCGAATGAGAACTGAGTATCTACAGAGGTAGGGCATGTGCCTTATGGCTTCGTTTTTCTGTTTATTTGGGACAGGCTGCTGGTTATTGTCCTCCATCGCCTCGAGAAACCAATGCTGGTGAAATCTACATTGTGGAGCTGGTTAAAGAAGATGGAACCCTTGGATTCAGCGTGACAGTAAGACTTTTTAGGGAGCTTGGAAAAGAGTAAAACGCTATCCATCCAGAGCCTTGGAAGGCATTCTACCCCGATAATGTGCTCTTTGTGTTTAAGTGCACATTGTACGTGAGGGATAAACTGAGCTTTCTGTAGGGAGAGAGAATCAAAAGTCAAACTGGGAGACAGAGCCACTTGAGCTTGCGCTATGGGCAGGTTCTGAGGAGGAGCAACAGAACAAAAGAGGTGACGGGAGAGAACCTGGGTGAAGTTGTCTGGCTTCAAGCTTCAGCTGGACAGAAAAAGAGGCAGTAAGGTAGAACTTCATGGATGGAAACCAAGGGTGAGTGGAAAACTCACTGTCCTCCCAAGTAAGATTGAAATAAACTTGTGCTCCATCTTTCAGAGGCCAGGACAAAGTTCAGTCTTTGAGGTTTTCCATGCGTCTGACATTTTGCCTCTGGCTTTTGAGCTTCAGTGGCAGATGTCTACAGAGGGAGATTCCCCGTGTAACCAATCTCCTAAGGGTATGGTAAATGGTGTCTACAAAGTTGGTACGCACAGATTCAGAGGTGTTGCGGAGGCGCTGCTTGCATTAGTGAACACTGAATATGACCCATAACTTAAGACCTTGGGAAAGGGCTGGACTTCCGGGATGACACTGTTGAATTCAAAGAAAGAGAGTGGAAATTTCTAGTGTATAAGGAAATGTCAAAGACAGTGAAAACTTTCACAGGTAACCAAGAAAAGAGTGAAGAGAGCATGCCTTGCTTCCCTTGTGCATCTAGAGCAAGGATCCTTGAGTTGCTAAACCGCCAGCAGATGATTTTAACACTGGGAAACGGGCTCGTGCATCCATAGGGACTGAACAGGCTGGGACTAAAATGGCCAATTTATTCTTGGCTTGATAAAACAATCCCATCATGAGACACCAAACACAGCAATTTCTCATCTAAAAAACTTGCTAAAATTTAGATATTCAGATATATGCATATGCACATGCCAACAGGAGATTGGTGATTTCTTTGGGCTAGCAAGAACACTGATTGTCTCTGGAGAAGTTCCATTTAAAAATAATCATTGAAATGTCTCCCTTAAATCCAAATGGCCATTAAACAAATAAAAGGCATTGAAACCCATGAAAAACTACAGGCAAGTTAAAGGGAAACTTTAGAATTTATAACTGTCACTTTAGCCAAATATAGCTGTTGTGACACAGAAAAGGGTACTGTCACACTGAGCTGGTGGAAATATGAATCATTACACACATTCACGTTAGGACACAAGCTGGCAAATCTACTGTAATGAAAAAATGCGCATATTCTGGGCCCACAGACACAGAAATGTGGATCCCACTGAGAAAGGCTGGGTGTGTGAATGTGTCGGGTGCTGTGTTGCCATCAGTGACAAGCACATTGAAGACACTGAGTACAGATCAGCTGAGAAAAGGTTAGCTCTGGCACACTGCATAGAATCCAAGTTGATGTCCCCAAGAACAAAGGAATCAGTACTAGCTCCACCCACTAGAAAGGTTTCCACCAGGTATTCCTTGAGAAGAAAGCCATATGGAAAATATTGACTATGAACCACTGTTTTGCACAACACATAACCTAGCTGAGCTGGATTGGTCTGTGTTTGTAATCAGATACAACAGCTACTAAATAGCACGACACAGACTAAAATCTGTTTCCCTGGGATGGGAGAACTGCATGGTTTCCGTGCAAGTTCAGGATGCTTTTCTAAGCCAGCTGAGGAGCTAGAGAGATAGAGAACCAATAACCTGGGGTTTAGCAAGGAAGGCGAGGCTATGAGAGCTCACAGCAGCAGCCATATCCTGAGCAGATCATAGGCCCCTTCCAGGTGGTTGGCCACTTTGAAGTTTTGTGTTAGCATTGCTAGAAACAGAGTTTCCGAGGAGTCTTGAGCCTTGCATAGAATTCCATTGGCTCACAGTGTTTGCTAATGAACTTCTACCACTATAATGAATACCAGAAACATAATCAAATTACAAAGTGAAGAGGTCCATTATGCTCTGTGGTTTTAGAGGCTTCAATCCATGATTGGCTGGCTTCTGCTTTGGGACTGTGGAACCATATCATGGTGGAAGGAGGGGGTGGATAAAGCCTCTCCCTCGTGGCCAGGAAGTGAAGGAAAGAGGAAGAATGGGGTCTCATTAGCCTCTTCAAGGGCTCACTCCTGTGGCCTAAAGACTTGCCACTCTGCTCCAATCTTGCAGGTTCCACTGCCTTCCAATAGTGCTGAGTCAGGAGCCATGACACAAGGCCTATGAGGGACAGTCAAGATCCAACATAAACAGAGTGTCTCCGCTGGCTGGCTTGGCTGTCCATTGTCAATTCTATGTGATTGAATTAGTAAGGAGAGCAGCAAAGAGAGGTGGTTGAGTATGCATATTCACTATGATTGTGTTGTTAGGAGTGAGGTAGGAAGTGGAGACAGGGAAGGAGTAAGAGACTGACCAGGAATGAAAATACCATGAATAAAATATCAGTCTTTATGCATGTTTACCTTTATAAAGTAAATGGGGATAAAGAAGCAGCCTTGGAGCTTGATCTTCTGACCTGCAGGTTTATACTCTATTATCAAGTTTAAAAAACAGATTGCAGAAGCAGGCACAGTGGCACATGCCTGTAACTTTACGACTTAGGAGGCAGGAGAGTAAGTACCTGGGTTTAATGCTAGCCTGGGCTACATAGAGAGATCCTATCTTAGAAAAAAAGAAAAGAGTTGCAAGATACTGAGTAGGTTAAACTTATTTTTCCTCCTGAATTTGTGCTCACAAACATGCAAACATACAGGGTGTGCCAGACACAAGTCCTCAGCCCTTAGGGCAAGCCTACTTACGCTGCTTGTGGCACACAGATCTTGTGTACCACACGGGACTCCGCTTGTGCCCCCTGTGGCTTCGCTTGGTTTGATTTTGTCACTCAGCCTATATTGCTATGGTCTGTGTAAACCTGGCCATCTTGTTCACTGGGGAGGAGAGTTTGTTGGGGTGAAGGGAGAAGACTGTCAGTGTGGGCTAGATCGTTGTGGGAGAGAGGTGGGTTCTCTTGGGAGGGAGCTTGGGAGGCATCCCAGACGGGATAGATGGGTTTTGAGTATTGTCTTGTGTTTTGTAGGGTGGCATTAACACAAGTGTCCCTCATGGAGGAATCTTTGTGAAGTCTATAATTCCTGGAGGCCCAGCTGCAAAGGAAGGACAGATCCTGCAGGGTGAGGGCCATGTCATCCTGGGAGTTCTGCTTTCTGTGGCTTTGAACCCTGGGAAGCTCAAGCCTTGTTCATTTCAGTTTTAGAGCCCCCTGTTTCTCCAGGGCCTGAGGTCTTTGCCTGGGAAGGGTGGGGAAAGGGATTTCATCTGCTTCACCCATCTGATCAGTTGGCAGTGGTCTAAAGCCCATAATAAAAATCAAGTAGGAAATGTAATAGAAACTTGCTTCTGGAGGAGAGCATTGCTTCCTTAGGAGGACAGGGCCGATACCGGTGACACCACTTTAGCATGGGTGCCATTGTGAGCTTTCTTTATGCCCTCCTCCAGAAAAAAAAGCTGGCATTGGTGACCTCACTTCAGATGGGGGATATCATGAGGTGCCCTCCTCTAGAAAACACACTTGGCATTGGTGACCCCACTTTAGAACAGGGGCTCTGTGAGTGTTTTCTCTGGCCTGGATCATTTCTTGTTGCTCTGAAGGAAAGAGTGGTTTTTCTTCCCCGAAATTGTGCAACTGAACCAGAAAAAGCCACTGGAGATATTATTTATTTCTGCTTCCCCTTGAGCTCCAGTATTTCTAGCATCAGCTATTGTTTCCCTGACCCTTTTTTTGAAACAGAAAACATCCTCGGGATATAAATATTACCCCGAGTGAGTTGAAAATGTTTTAAAAAATAGTTTCACAGGAGAATGGGAGGAAAGACAAGGGTGACAAGACCTGACTTGGCCATTCTATGAGCCAATAATAGACAGGCTTTCAAGTCCTTGCTCTGTCCTGTGCCTCAGGAACAGGCCCAGGGGCACAGCAGTCCAGAGAGGCAGTTGATGCTCAGGCTCATGCAGGCTCCTGCTGAGCCCAGGGCCACCTGGCAGCTCTGCTTCCTACCCCATAGGCAGGAGTCTTACAGAGAGTTCTTCTAGCATCCCTGGGGGACAGGGCACATGACCAGCCCTCCTTTTCCAGGTGACCGGCTTCTGCAGGTGGATGGAGTGAGTCTGTGCGGCCTCACTCACAAGCAGGCTGTGCAGTGTCTCAAGGGTCCTGGGCAGGTGCGTATGTCATTCCTGGGGACCTTTCCTTACTTCCAGAGCTTCCCAGCAGTTGCCTCCAGGTAAGAACGAGGCAGCCGAGAAATAAAACAGGACTTTTTTAGTCTCCTTTTCCTCCTTTCTCACTCTTCATCTCAACACCATTTTTCTATGAGAATGTGAAAGCCAGGAGGTGGCAGACAGATGTTCTAAAGTAGAAAACCTCACACCCTTTAAATAGATTTGGAAAGCGTATAGTTGCTTGCTTTGATTTGAGCCTCAGACAGCAGAACAGAACTGAGGCAGAACACAGGCTCCTGGTGGCTGTCTCTGGCTGTATCCCTGCCTGTGCCAACCCCATTGACCAGGGCAAGCACCTGAAGTCAGGCTCTGACTCTTGCACACTTTGCCCACAGTGACCCCCATCTCCCTGATCATGTCCTTGTCTGTCACCCACCAGGTGGGTACCCACCAGGACCTGAGTTGGGTAGTACAGGGTTTCTGTTCACTGCAGTGAGGTAGAGATTCAGGATACTGGGAACTAGAGGTGCTCAGTGCACCCTGTAGTTTGTGTGATGCCCACGCAGGGTTCCAGGATTGTCACGGGGCTCTGTCATCCGACTCACATGGGAGCCCTTTATTTGTTCGGGTATCCAGAGCCACTTATTTCTATGGCTTTCTCCTGGTGATAGAGGAGTTAACAGGGAGAGAAAAGATTTCAGTTGCCCTCTACTTGACTTCCGTGTACAGCTGGAGTCTCGCCTCATATCTTCAGAAGGGCTCATAATTACTTAGCATCATCTGTTTATTAGGCCCTCCTTATGTATGTGGTTAGAGAAAACATGTCTGGACGCCTGCACAGTGACAAGTAAGAATTGCCCCTGTGGGGTCTTGGGCCTGGTGCTGAATGACAATGGCAGCAGAATGATGGCGTCATGGTCAAGTGCCCCAAATGGAAGCTTGGCACTTCTAATTCACTACCTGGTGATGTCCAGCCACTGCGTTTGAACCATTTTGGGTAATGAGAGCCTGAGATGCTGTTGGGAAAAGGATCAGAAATCAAGCCAGGAAAAATAGAGGAGGGTCGATCAGCACAGGCCTGGGAGACCATCCCGTGGTTTGGGATTCAGATAATTGGAGATACTGGGGACTTTTAACTGGTCATTGCAAATTCAGCTTTGTGTCTTAGACCAGTTCACTCATAACCGTGCTGGGAGTGGACAAAGAAATGGAAATGGGCCAGCAAGCCGGGTTAGAGCTTGCTACAGTGTCCCTGGCAGTGGAGAGGGAACAGAGAGGTTCCAAGGGAGTTACTTTTGCTGAAGAACTCATAAGCCTTAAAACCAAAGGAGCACAGAGGCAGAAGGGGAGAGCTGGATGACTCCAAGTGTGGCCTCTTGAGATTGGGGAATGACTCCAAGATCCAAAGGATCATAGACAAAGGGAGGAACACTTTAAGCAGAATGAGGAGGGCCGGGAGAGCAAACCAGGGGCAGAGGAGGCAAGCTTGCCACTGAACGTGCCGACAGTGAGGTACACACATCACCTCCAGCGGCACTCTTGTCTGGTTACCGTTGCATCTGCCAATCTGTACCCCATGTAGGGCAAGGCTAGATTTGAGAAGCAAATAGAGCAGCTTAGTGGAAGCAGCAGAAAATAAAGAAGCTCTGTGGTTGCTGTGTGACGTGCAAATTGAGTCTGTCCACTCATCTTTCTAGGTGGCACGGCTGGTCTTAGAGAGGAGAAGCCCCAGGATTTTGCTACCGAGTCCTTCCGCTGATGACAGGATGGGAGATGTGCACATGGCTGTTTCCCTGGTAACAGCCCGGTCTGGCAGGCCTGCAAGCTGTGTCTCAGTGACAGATGGTAAGAGGAGAGAGAATTGAGCGTTGCTATTGTCATCATCATGTACTGCTGTAGAATTGTCAGGTCAGAGGGGAAAGATAGGGAGGCTTCCTCTGGGTTAAAAAAAAAAAAGAGAGAGAGAGCAGCGTGGCTCAGGATCATTGTCTGAACTGGGGGGAATGTTCTTTGAAAAACAATAATACATTGTGCTCACATGACTACCACCAATAATCCTGCTCCCAAGTCTTGTGCAGTTTCCTGATCACCCTTCTGAGTATTCATGTCTGTACACAAATATTTAGGGATGAAACGGAGGTGAAAGGGTCAGGAATTTTCAAATACAATTGGTTCTACATTCCAGCCAGGCACTTGCAACAGAGACATCCTGGGACTGGCAGGAAGCTAGCCCTGTTAGTAGCACCCTTTAGACACTCTGGGACTGACACGGCAATCAGGAAGCTAGCCCTGTTTGTAGCATCCTTTAAAAAGTCAGAGCTGTGACAAGCTAGAGGGGCACACTGCATCTCTTGCTGGGCCACCTCTCTGCATGTCCATGTGATTTTGTTTCCTGCTGGGAAAGGCCTGTTTCCACAGAACACCATGGGTTGGAGCTTACCATATCCCACTCCTTCTGTAGGGGTTGCTGTGGCCGTGCTATAGGAACTGTGAGGCAGGTTGGATGCATGGTGATGACGTCATCCTTAAATCAAGGCTGCCTCTTCTCCCCTCGACTCCTCCATGCGCTCACTCCAAATGGAAACTTCAGACAATGAGCTAAACATGGGACAGCTGAAGCCAGGGTGGCAATGGCAGATGTGCTCATGCCGCAGACCTCACTCTCTGCTTCAGTTATTTCCTTTCTTGCTCTAGTGAAAACGTGCAAGCCAAGGCTCTGTCCCTCTGTTCACTGCTTACCTTCTCAACTAGTGAAGACAAGCCAGGAGAAGCCCGGAGACTCCCTTTGCTTACTAGACTCCCAAGATACCCAACGTTGTGTCCATCTCTGTGATCCAGAAGAGACTGGCCTTACGGTCAGTGTACATGGCCAAACAAAATGGCAGGGAGAACATTCTTCAGAGTTGATTGTCATTGTCCCCCTGATCTGTTTACATAAAATTTCATGTTGCATATACAAAAACAGGATTAAGATCCCACATCTCCATGTATATGTAATACAAGCTTTCCTGGATGCTATAAGCAGATAGCCTATGTCTAAAGCTCCATCCTTACATATAAATTTAGTTGTTTATATTTAAAGACTTAGTACAGCAAACACCTGTCATGTGTATTCTTTTAAACACTGCCTGGCCCATTAATTCCAGCCTCTTATTGGCTAATTCTCACATCTTGCTTTAACCCATATTTAATAATCTGTGTAGCACCACGAGGTGTGGCTTACCAGGAAAGATCTTAACCTGCATCTATCTTGGAGAGGAGAGCTATGGCGTCTGCCTGACTCAGCTTCTTTCTCCCAGCATTCTGTTCTGTCTACTCCACCTACCTAATTTTCTGTCCTATTAAAGGGCCAAGTCAGTCTCTTTATTTAACCAATGAAATCAACACAAAACAGAAGACTCTCCCACATCATTAAAACATTGGGATTATTGGGACTGAGTGTGAGTCAGGAACCTCTGAGGGAGCATATCTGAGCCAGAGACCTCTAGGGACTGGACCCAAGCCTCCATGGGAACAGACCCAAGCCAGGGACCTCTGGGGGAGCAGGCCCAAACCAGGGATATCTGTGGGAACAGGTCTGAGCCAGCGACCTTAGTCAGAGCACGTCCGAGGCAACAATCTTTACAGGAGCAGGTAAAGGGGAGCCACCATAATGGATTACTACACAGCAGAAAAAAATGATGACAATTGAAATTTGCAGGCAAATGGATAGATCTAGAAAACACTATATTGAGTGAGGTAACCCAGACTCAGAAAGACAAATATCATATGTACTCACTCATAAGTGGCTTTTAGACATAAAGCAAAGAAAAATCAGCCTACAGTTCACAATCCCAGATAACCTCCATGGCAAAGAGGACCCTAAGAGAAACATACATGGG